CAAAGCGCAGTGCCCTTAACGCACACTAAATCCACACTATCTCGAATACCGCTCCGGAGCGCTATTCGAGGCTTAGTGTATCCCATCATGCATCATGTTCTGGAAATAAATCGTGAGACTTTTTGCCGAGATCTCGCGAGAGGTCACGGAAACCTTTCCAGTGCAAGTTAAATATTAATATAATAATTAGATATTACATATAATTTGGTAGAAAAACAGTGTTTTTACGTTTTATTGGTGCAAAGATGAGTAGTGGTGATATAACATTTGCAACTGCTTTTTATCACTTAATTAGAAGCACCGCAAATTAAAATTGTCATGTTATAGGGACTACTGAACAGACATTTAAGAGGTTGATTTTAAAATGCAAAGTATTTAAAATTAAAATTAAAATAAAGCTATGTAAACACTTGCATTTTTACAACACTACAAGTGTGTCCCATCAGGTAATGAAAAGTTCGACACACACTTGTGGTCTTCGTGCTCACTTGAACACTTGGGCCAAATACAGGAAATACGTCATTTAAGTAGTCAAGTGGTCAAGTGCAAAGACCGCAAGTGTGTGTATTTGGACAAGGCTATTGCCGCTCGCACGCTACACACCATCTTCTCACGCAGTGAAAGATACATCGCAGAGCAAAGAGAAAACTGACAACACACCGACAGACAAGACAGAGCAGGTTACTTCTGATATGAAAAAAGGTCTCAGGACTCTAAGCTTTCAAATTTGGTAATTTTTAAAGAAATTCAAACAATAAATGCCGTTTTGTGGCTCTTTAATGTGCGGTGATCAGTGTATTGCCTCAGATCAAACATGTGAACCGATAGTCTTTTCATACTTACATAAAGCACGAAATGAACATGAATATATTTTATTTCAACAACGGAACACACCATTTTTTCAAGTGTAAGTCCACCGAAGTTAATCTTCTTTCATGTCTGATTTGTGGTTAAGGCTAGAAGGGATACAGCTGCGGTGGGCATGCGCATTTACATATTTTCCGAGCCAACAATATAACATGAAACCTATGAAAATTTACAAATAAATGTAAAGAGATTAACAAAAATTAAACATATTGAGAAAAAAAAATAGAATGAGATCCACACATAAATCTTACAGTTTCACAAACATTAATTAAATTCACAAAAAATAAAAAAAAATAAAATGAGATTTGCAAATAAAAAACATTCACAAATATATTTTTATGTCACAAACAACTTTGCCTGGCATTCATTTGTGGATCGGTCGCTGTGCATTTGTGAATCGCTGCAAGCATTTGTGCATTTTGAAACATTTCTAGCGTCAAGACGCTGACGATTCACAAATGTAGACTCCACCCACCGTCTACTCAAGCCAATCAGACAACAGCATCACTTCGCTATAGCCAATCACGTTTCGCTTTACAATCAGGGCGGTCTCGTCTTGAAATTTATTTTCACCCTCTAACTCTAGCACTCTATTCTAATTCTATTCTTGAAAAAAAACTTTTTAGACTTGCACTCTATTTGCCGCTTGTTCTCTTTAAAAAAAAAAAATCTAACACAAGCTTTTCTAATCTTTTTGTTTTCTATCTGTTTCTTTCTATTATACAATTAACAAAAACAAAAAAAGCCTCTAACACTAGCTTGCTCTATTCTTTTTCTATTCTATCTGTTTTCTTTTTATTTATTATATAATTTTACAAAAACCTTGCTACGTGTACTGTGTTAAGCTAACTGAGACTTGTTAAAGCACTTGCATATTATTGCTCTTTTGTTGGTTTTGATTGCTTCTATTGTCCTCATTTGTAAGTCGCTTTGGATAAAAGTGTCTGCTAAATGACTAAATGTAAATGTAAATAACTTCATACATCTGCATTGGCTCTAATAGGAAATATAAAGGCCATAAAAATTGGTACAGTAAAAGATGTTTAAAATTGGATTTCGTTAGAGTCAAACCATTAGACTGTGTATCAAGACAATACACAGTATTATATTTTATGTGCCTTTGAAAATGCCAGAGAAACAGCACTTTAAATCACAGCTATGGCAACAACGATACTGGATAAACGCGTTATGAAAGCGTCACGTTATTCAAGATGGAAAGAAAAGCATCAATAAGTAACTGATTAATAACTGGATTCAACCTCATGATAAACATAAGAGTTTGTGTAATAGGTTAAATTTCCCAGTTTTTCAGTCAAGCGCCAGAGGTCGCTGTATACCTACAGCCGTGGCCAAAAGTTTTGACACAAATATACATTTTCACAAAGACTGTTGCTTCAGTGTTTTATATCTTTTTTTGCAGATGTTACTATGGTATACTGAAGTATAATGGCCCCACTTTATATTAAGTGGCCTTAACTACTATGTACTTACATCAAAAATTAAGTACAATGTACTTATTGTGTTCATATTGTATTGCAAAACACTTTTGCTGCTATTGAGGTGGGATATACTGTATAAGGTTAGGGACAGGTTTGTTGGTATGGGTAGGTTTAAGGGTGGGTTAAGGTGTAAGGGATGGGTCAACTGTGTAATTATAAATGTAATTACAGAAATTAATTACAGATGTAATTACATGCAGGTTTTTTTTAAATATAAGTACAATGTAAAAACATGTATGTACACAATAAGTACATAGTTGTTAAGGCCACTTAATATAAAGTGGGTCCAGTATAATTACAAGCATTTCATAAATGTCAAAGGCTTTTATTGACAATTACATTAAGTTTATGCAAAGACTCAATATTTGCAGCGTTGACCCTTCTTTTTCAAGACCTCTGCAATTCGCCCTGGCATGCTGTTCAACATATTTTATAAAATATTTATTTTATATAAAATAAAAAACAATTAGTATACTATACTTTATCTTTACTGTAAACTTAAACTTTTATAACTTTTTTACACTTTATTTTTTTTTAAATGCTTTCACTTCAGCAATAATCTGCTATGTGTCTTCTTTAAAAAGATACCAACCTTAGGTCTGTATTCCAAAGTGTTCAGGAATTACAACCATGTTGTAACAAGCATTGATAAACAAGTGTTCTGTTTTCAGTGAATTTATACCCCCAAAGTAGCATTAAACATTAAAATAAAAAATAAGAGTCAAGTTTTGAAAAAAAAAAAAAAAATCATGAAATTGCATTATTTGAGTCCCAATAAGATGGAAAATAGCAATAAATTAACTTTCTGATGTCTCTTTATGGGTTTGCCCTTTTTAGGGTTAAGACACACCATCTTTCAAACTTTTCAATCTAGTTATTACAGTTTTTCTTACAGGTTTTTTCAACTGCTTACACACATTGTCAAAACTTTGCCTCTTTTTTTTTTTTTAAACTTTACACACAAAAAATGCAAAATGCCTCACATCTCTTGCAAAATGAAGCGCTGCACTCAAAATACCACAAACACATCTCAAAAGCAAACACCTTTGCCATAATATTAATTCCTGTTAGATTTTTGTGTGTTACATAAAGAATTGTGTGTTGTGTTTTGCAAAAAGTGTTTTATGAAATTGAAAACTGAGTCAAAGGCTGGGAATTAGTGTATGGTTTTGTTAGTGTACGCGCAGCAGTGCAAAGAGGATTCGGTGCTTACTTGATCTAATATATATATATATTTTTTAAAATGTTGTAGATTTAAGTAGCAAATGAGAATCGCTAAAATGAATGTATATATTTTGAGACAAAGGTCTTCTTTATGATTTTCAGTTTTGTTTAAAGGGGTCATATGATGCTATTTTAAATATCATTATTTTGTGTATTTGGTATAACAGAATATGTTGACATGTTTTAATGTTCAAAAAACACATTATTTTTCAAATACTGTACATTATTGTAGGTCCTCTATGCCCCGCCTCTCTCAAACACGTAGTTTTCAACAAAGCCCCCTCCTTTGACAAGCGCAGTCTGCTCTGATTGGCCAGCTGACCCAGTGCATTGTGATTGGCCTTAAAACGATTTTGTTTCTGTATTTTAAAATATATTTTTTATTTTAACATATTTTAATGACAGTATATTTATTGAACAAAAATTTATTATTTTATTTTTCAAAATAAGCAGAAAATAGTACAAACTTTGCTAAAGTGATTGTTTTGAGCAAGTATTAACTTAGACATTATTTCTAAAAAACATTATTTTAGCTGAAGTGTATCAATACCGTGTGTGGGGTAAAAGGCCCATACATTTATAAGATTTATAATACATTTATAAGATTTTTATGGCTTATGGCTATCATTTGTATCATTCATTGATCAGTTTATGGCTTTAAACTTGAAAAAGTGACCCAGATAATGTCAATAATTCTTGGAAGATTATAAAGATATAATGAAAATAAATCTCATCAATCGTAATTTTTTAGACATTTTATACCTATTTTCAGGTATTATTTTAGACTCTAACTTAATATGTCCACATTTTTTAAATGAGAAAAACATTTTTTTTTGCATTTCAATACTGACACAAGAATGTACTCTATGAACTCATACACTCGTTTTTTTGTTTGTTTGTTTATCACATTTGTCACATTTGCATTTTAATCTAATTTATAAGTTGTTTCGTAACCTAAACATTACAGTTTGTCAGACAAAATCTCACACTCTTGTGGTTTCCTAACATTTTCAGCACATAATTGGACCATATACATTATATTTTTCAACAATACATTACACTCTGAATTTCTGTCAACTCTTTTATTATTTTTATATCATGTTCTATGTACATTTCTATGCATTAGACACCAGAGTGCGAGCAGGACTTTTATTTTGGCGCGGTGATGTGACGTCATGAGGATGCGCCGCGCTCCTGCATCTGTTTGTGATTCGACTCAAGAAAGGTTTGTGTTTAAAGCATTTAACGTGTAGAAACTGTTCAACTTTAAAGTTTTACGAGCGATACAGAATTAATTGTTTAATATTTACTGTAACATATTAATGTTTTATTTAAAAGATATTAACGTTATTTGTGTGAGTAAAGCGCATCCACACACGAGTAACGTGAACACAAAAGATGAGTCTCGTGAATCAGTTTATCATGTGTTCAGTCGCTGGACAAACTGAGTTTTTTAGACTCCGAGTCAATTGAATCAAATGATTCACACACTGAGTCGCTGACGTCACATGCTGGTCAGAACCGTTTAATTCGACACAAACGTGTTTAATGAAAACTTAAACCAAGAGAAAATATTTTCATTTAGTGCAGTCTATTAAATGTGATCAGCAAACCATTAGATAACTACTATACTGTACACCATAACTACCTAAATGTGAACTTTCATTATAAGGTGTGTTATGTTATGAATGTTTTGAGTGTCTAATCAGGTGATTTAAGTCCATGAACTCTCACTCTGACTGACTCCCTCACCAGTGCGCTGACTACTGAACTAGAGCTGATTGAGACGCACCCACAGATTTAGTTTGGGTTTATTTCTCTTTCTCTTACTCTCATCTTAAACAGAACTGAGTGTCCAAAAAACTCCTGCTGAAGCGACTGAGAGCCACGTGACACTCTTATAAAGATGGCGTTTGTTAAAGAGCAGAGTGAAGACTTCAGGATTGAAGAAGTATTCAGTCTGAAGCAAGATACTGAGGAACAAACAGGTCAGTTTTTATTCTCAAAACTAAACTCAGTCATCTGATCCGTATTCAAATGTCCAGCTGTACAGAAATGAAGGATATTTTTGAAGAATGTCATATGAGCTTCGTAATTAAAGTGGTTTTATTTGACATGGAGCGGGTCCACGCATGTGGACAGACATGTTGAGATCACATGACCAGACAAATACTAACGCTGGCTTCATGTGAACCTGTGAAGATCCTTCCTTCATGTTGGTCATTCGTTATTATGACGCGTCACACATTAAATTAAGAAAAAGTAATAAATAATGCATAAGTTGTCTAAACAAATTTATGTGTAACATTAATCCATGTATCATTCGTAGGGCTGGGTATCGTAAAAAAAAATTCGATATCGATACCGATACCTTGACTTCGATACCGGTTCTTGAACGATACTTTTTTCGATACCAATTTTATGAAATCAATTTCAACAAGATTACATTATCTAAAAAAAAAACTTTGGTTTTATTTTTCAGCTTGTTGATGTTTATACAAACTCAAAGACTCATCTCCTGAGCCACTGCACAAAGGAACAAAATTTAACCAACACAATAAATCAGTGCAAAACAGTTTTAATAAAGCTCAAATAGTCTTCAGTTTACACATCGGTTAGCTACATTTACACTAGTGCGCGTGACAGAATCACCTAGCTCAGACAGAATCGTCATTTCTATTAATTTTCCACTGATTTACTGATGAGCATTAGCAGCTTCCAGCGCTGTCTGCCTGTGTTCTCTCTTCCATGATCGCTGCTCTGACTCACAGGTAATAACATATTTAATTTCAGCAACATTACATGGCCAAAACACACACGGCAATCGGAAGTTATTACAAAAACTTGATGGTGGTTTAAAGTGAGTTTTGAGTAAAAGCGGAATATAAATCTTATGTAGCATGATGCTACAGTGTGCATGAATGGTCACGTAACACACGCTTTCGGTCTTGTAGTATGAACGGACATCTGCATATGATCGGAACTCCATGCAGCTCCCGCGCTACTCT